ATCATCCAATTCAGGCCAAAAGAAGTTGGTAATTATCGACCTAAACTGCTCGCCGTTGGCAGTGATGGCCTCGCCAACGTCGTTCTCAAAGAAATATAAACCGATGACACCGCCAGCCCAAAATCCACACCAAACAGTGACTTTTTCAGGATGCATTGGACACTCCTGGATCTCATGTGGATTGGTATCGTCAAAAAAAAGGATTAAAGTCAAAGATTACAAAAACAACACCAATCATTTTAGTCCAAATGGTCAATTTCGACAAAAAAAGAACGACTTAGTGATAAGTTCTTCACATTATAGTTGGTCCAGTTCCTAGCAAAAGCTATTGCCAACGTCCAATTTCAATGAATCAATAAATACAAATAATTGAATTAATTTGAACCTGTCTTTCATTTTACATAGGTAGGTATTCAGTTTTTAGTACTGAATCATATCAAATGAATGCCCAATTCAGGTTGGAATTTCAATAAACATAAAATAGACTTGAATGAAACCACTTCTTGAATTATACAATTTTACGATAAGTAGGAGTGGTCCCCAAAATACACAGGTCGCAACTCTGGTATTATTTATTATAACTATAACTTTTAATTTGTTTCATGTTCATCATTAATTTCTCCTCGATATCCGTAGATCTTAGATTCTTTCCAAATAACATTGAAGGAAATGATAATGTTTTGGAACGTCTCCAAAAATTCAAAATTATTATGTAAGCTCTATGTTAGGAGACTTTAACATAGGTCTAAGAGGCTTCAAAGTACATAAAATCTTCTTACACTTCATGTAACTACTTGTGAATGTTTTTCTAGGAGTACATATTTAACAAACATGTTTGACCGCAACATTTTGGTAAATAATCGATGTTCAAAGAGTCAACCACAATACCAAATCCGCTCATTTTAATAATCACAACAAAACCGTTCTTCAAACCTGCGTGTAACATACGGAAGAGAACCATTAGCTTCTTCATTACGAAAATTCATCTGAGTTAACCAGTATCTTTTTCAAAAAGTTCAAAACTCCTTTTAGTAATCGCCTGATGATGCCAACTTGGTTTGCGAAATGCGTATTGAACAAGACAGCTTCAGTTATAAGTGCGTTCTTCTCATTCATCTACGCCACTGTCAATTGCTATAAAAACTCAAAAATGTCAAATATGTGTTCACATAGCTTGAACATTATCTTAAAAAACGTGTTGATATAATTTTATGATAGGTAATCACTCTTTATAGATATTAGTGGAATATCTTAAGTTTCCTGTCTCATCATTGTTCGAAAGTTAAGAAAATATTACTTGTAAATAACAGAGTGCCGTTCAGAGTTCCATCCAGTGGTGTTACATAGAATGTAGATAAGTTCTCACGTCCGAAATGTATGATCAACTAAACTCATCTTCCGGTCTACTCACTTAGAAGAAACAAAAAAAACCTTAATACCACAGATGCAAATAAAGGAAATGTTAACACGTTGATTTTGTTACATAGACCTCGGTGAAAAATTGCTCCTTCATTTTTTTGCAATGCACTGTTTGGAATCTTTGGTGTAGTAATTAATATTACTGCAGTTTTTCATTCAACATAAACTCTTCACAAGTATGTATCATGCAAAAAAGTGTATTTCAGATACAAACCGATTAGTTTAGTCCGAACTGACTAGTTCTGAGAGCACGGAAAGCGACAGTAAACCAGTGAACTTAGTGTAATCAAACTGAGAAAGGTAGACTTATTCAATTTGAATAAGCGTACCACCTACTGGAAGAATCCAACCTCATACACAAGTCAATAAAAATATTCTCGGACAGTCAAGCTCTTGGTTCCTACCGAGAAACGTCTGAATTGGTAGCAAATTCACAAAAACAACTCTCCTCGATAGGAAAACTTAAGAGATTGTCTCTTGTCTAGATTCCTGACTATACTGGCCTGGAAGGCAATGAGGCTGCGGATTCCCTTGCAAAGGATGGAGCTGTAAGCAGCTTCATCGGACCAGAACCTGTCGTTGGTATCGCTTTAGGCTTTGTCAAACAAAGATTGAACACCTGGATGGCAAGAAGATGTATGGACTTTTGGCAGAACCTTCCAGGATTGGCTCACTCCAAGGTGTTTATTCACCCTTCGAAGCTTGATACCAAACAGTTGTTGGACTACAGTAGGGATGAACTACGATGTCTAACAGGCCTTCTTACAGGTCACTGTCACGTAAATCATCATATGCAGAGACTCGGACTGTCGGAAGACAGTGTGTGTCGCCTCTGTTAAGAACATGATGAAACAGCAGAGCATATACTTTGTGTCTGCCCCGCTGGGGACTGAATCAGGTTTTTAGAATTCCGCAAAGACGTACTCTTACCATCTGATCTGAAAGACCACTCACTATACAAGCTAATCGGTTTCGTTAAGAAGCTGGGTTCGTTTAGTCGAGTTTGAATAGGCGTGTGCCACAATAAACCCGTGCGGGTTGCAGTGGAGGTTCAAATAGACCCACTCACTTTGGACCTAACCTAACCTAAACTAACCACCTATATATTAATTAACCACATAGAGAATAAACACTTTTGAATGCGGCGGGATGAGTTTTGGTACGAAGGAAAGGAGATTGTAGCGGATTGAGAGAGTATAATGAATACATGAGTAGCTAACTACGACGAGATGGCGAAAGTGGATATAATGCAACAAAATTGCTGAAGCAGCCTAACCAACAAACACGTAAATGAAAAGAACTGCAATTACAAGAAAAAATCAAAGCAGAGTAAGGGACGTAATTTAAACGAGAGTAGAGAAACGGACGAGTTATCAGAACAACTCTCTCTGCAATCTAAGGACTTCAGAGGAAAATATAACAGTAGAGTACACAAGAGAAAATACGTCAGGATGTAGATTAGATCAAGGAAGTTCGGGCATGACAGACTTTCAGTGACCGAGGTAACGAAGTTGAAGACTTACTGCGAAAAATCGACAAATGGAGCCATGAAACATATCAGAAATCAACTAAACAAACGAGGCAGAAGGGATGGACAACTACGGAAACTGTCTCGCAATAGCAACAAAGTAAAACCCTGAAGCTCCCCACTTTCTTTGGAAGGTAAATCATCATAGGCCATGTACCATTGACAATTCGAGCCAATTTCATCGGCTAGTGAAACGAGAAGAACACCACTGGACCAGAGTAGAGTCATCCGCGAAGCATAACCGCTCACAAGCTAAACTTTCACATAAGTCATTAATAAACAATAAAAACAAAAGAGGACCTAGGTTGGAGCCCTGAGACACACCAGAAGAAGCTATATATGTTTTAGATTTATAACCGTTATAGGACACCGTTATAGAAATGCGATATGGACAACAAAGTTTGAAGCAAGTATTCCAGAGCCGACTCAGGAGTAGGCATGGGGCAGATCTCGATAGACTGGAAGTCTTTCAGAACCGATTGGACCAGAGATTTTCATCGACGGTTTGAGGATATAGAGGGGCAGCAGGTCCAGAAACTAGTCGACATGCCGCAGAAGTAACACTGACGGAGAAGGCCACCAAGCTCAAACAAGAAGCCTTGCAACAACTGCGGAAACCTAGGCCACTGCCAGATGGACTTGGAAACGATTAACATCTTACGATATATGCAAAAGAAGAACAGAATGCTTTAAAGTCGTAGAAAAGTAGTAGTAATGTCTTTAAATCGAGTGAAGAAGAAAGATTTCCAACAACTGAGAGTATAGAGGTCACCAAAACCAGAAGGAAGTACCGATCACTGACCCAGAAAGACGAAACCTGTATGCGTTCTTAGATCGTTGAGGTGAACCAGAATCCAAACTTGTCTTTTTGTCTTTTACGAGCTTTTATGCGAGATATTCCTTTTCTCGGACGATTACATTCTATCTATCGAAACGCGGTTTCTTTTTAATGGATTGCTGTACCATTTTTCATAACTACTCAGTCAGTAGTGATTTTCAAACCGCCAAACCACATTCCTGGTACTTTTGGAAGTAATTGGATCAAATCAGAGCTGAACTCAACTATCCCTAAACGATAGAACTGAGAAAGTAAAGACTGTCACACCTTCCTTTATTGAGTCATAATCTATGGGATTGATTAAGGGATATATGAAATTGCCTTTACTTTCTTAAACGTGTCCTTCAAAGACAGTCAACTTCAGGTAACAGAAGATGAATCTCGCTCATTGGTCGATGTTGGAGCTTGGCTTTGCAATTGACCGTTTTGGAGATCCTCACTTGATTTTGATATTCTTGGATTTATTCTTCTGTCGATCTCTTAGATGATGTATTCGTAGTGTGCGATGTCATCGCCATATAATTATTGTTATGTTGTGACATTGAATTGTCCCGCAAAACGATTATATCACTATTTAGCCTCATTCTGTCAAGTTTCTTCCACTATATTGTTCGAGAATAAATAATAAACAAGGGTGATAAATTATTGTAACTCTTTCAACTTCAGATTGTTGGCAATTTTTGACATTCAGAAGAAATTGCATGCCGAGAGATTAGGTGAAATTATTTAAAGCCACAGCAGTGACACGCAAAAACAGCATTAGATACCGTCAAAAGTTGAAGGGAATGATAATGGTGTTGAACAATAGCAATTTATTTTCTTTCTTGATACGAATATTTTTACAATTCCCATGCTAAACTAATGACTTTATTTGTGGGGTATTCTTTACACAAGCGTTCGTGATAAGAGGAAAGAGATAAATATTTCTTTTGAGAATTTCATGCAATGAAAAGTTTTAATGAAATTTCAATACAATGCTTCGTTAACACCGATTGACGAATAGCCACATCGTCCCCAAATAAATTAAAAAAATGGTTTAAAGTATCGATTCTTTGAAAGACATAAAACAATCGATCACGACTTCAATTATACCATGGCGACTTCAAGTGGAAGAAAAAAATCCACAATGAAGGTGGGTCCCCAGGCAAAAAAGTTTGGGAAACGCTGGTCTAGAATCTAGATCACCTCCTGATGAAACCATCGAGCTTGGCGAACATGTGTCAAGCGTCTCACTTCTGGTATGTCAAATAAGTGTTTTTGTTGGATATTGTTAAACAGTTTTCTGATGTCCCTTTTTTAAATTCGTGTAGGTCTCTTCAACATTCCCACCTCCACTGGAATCTCACATCGTTGAACAACAATCCCGGAAGAGGAATTCGATCCGGGGTCAGATCTCCTTGCACCATAGCCCGAAGGAGGTACGGCTTCGAGAGGATTCAAGCCAAACTGTGTCGAAACTCAATGGAAACGATGCCGCATGTCCAATCGGCAGCAATTTTGGCTGCGGAAACGTGTAGAGAAGTTTTCAAAAATAGAAGGTGGAATTGTTCTTCCATTGTCACCGCGCCTTTTTTGTCTGCGGATTTAACAAGAGGTGAGATACTATGACTTCTATAGTACATAACAGAAAATCAAATTATCATATGGTGAATCACAATATCTATCCTATGAATTCCACATCTACATAATTGAAATTTCGTAATTCGTTTTTAAATAAAAACCCATAACGTTTTCAAGAAACACTTTTTTTGAGATTTCCACTAAACAGTTTTACAGAAACGCAACATGTGTATGGCTATTCAAGTTTTTTTCGGTCTATTGTATAGCGGGCTATTGTGCACATGGACTGGAAAGTCCCGGGCCTAAGAAAGTGTTATATAATATATTGGCATATTTGTACCACTCTGTTTGGCTACTCGACCGTAATTATAAATAAACTATTGTTTTTATGGAGCAGCTGGACTTCGAGCCAACATGGGATTTCAGGCACAGTTTCGAATATAAAATCCTTTTAAATAAGATTAATTTTCGATCTGAAATACAACGAATCATGTAGAGAAGTCTTATTTAAAAATAAAATTCTGACGGTAGTTGGTATCTATCTTTATAAATTACTGTCTTACATCCACTCAAATTCGTCTTCATTCACTAGATCTCGCGAAATACACGATTACCCCACTGGACAAAAACCATGAAATTCATTAGAAATTCATTAGAAAATGTAATCTTTCGGAATACAAAAAATCGCCAAGATATGCCGGAGCAATGGCTTTCAACCACCTTCTAGGAAAAATTAAAGATATTCCCGATCACAAAAAGTTTAAAAAACGATTACTGTTAGTTCATCAGGTCCTGTTCGTGTGCAGAATTTCTAATGCTTCTTGTAATGTATGCACTGAAGAATATCATAGGCGGAACTGTGAAAATTTTGACAGGTGCCAAGGGCTTTCCTCACGTCAAAAACAATTGATAACATTTGATTTAGTTATTCAATATAGTTGCCTTCCAGTCAGAGGTGACATATTTTTTTTAATTTCATATTGTTGCAAACCTACCCTGAAAATCAGCGGAAACCATAAATAGAATAGAATAGAATAGTTTATTAACTACGTTACATTTTCATGTTTTAGCAAGTCGAGTGTATAGGCTTTCTTGAATAAACATATAAAATAAAAAAGTAAATTGTAAAAATGTAAAAATATTATGCAAAGCAATGGTTGCCTAAGTACATATATAAACAAATAAATAGGGGTATTTACAAACTACCACAGTACAATCGATACCGGTATGTTTCATCTCGAGTAGACATGTCTGACGTGAATTGTCCTAAAATGATCGTAGTATTCCGAGACTGAGTAAAAACATTGGTTGAGTAGCATTTCCTTGATTGCTCTTTCGAATTTGGTGATACTAAGCTCTTTGAAGTTATTTGGCAGTGAGATGAAGAGATTGTAATCAAAAGAATTCATTTTTGATCTGGTCAAACGATAACGGCATATTATTACTTTGTTAGCATTTCTCGCGAAGTGTTGGTGTATGTCAGACTGTTTCTCTAGCAACTGATCATTTTTTCTGATTTCCAGTAGCGTCATTTTTAGGATCTCACCACTTGTGATGTTTTGCAGTTGACGAAGGATATATATTGCACTAGATAGTTTATTTGCGAGAAGATCTGTATGTTGATGCCAAGATAAAGTACTGTCGAGAGTAATGCCAAGTAATTTTACACTTTTGTTAGCTGAACCTACAGTGGTGAACTCAAGATTTTGAGTTTTGCCACTATTCAACTTCAATTTGTTTGCTAGAAACCAAGTGTTGGCGTGATTTTCAACTTCTTCCATCATTTGTGGAACGTTAGATGATGATTGATCGCTATATATTAAAGTTGTGTCATCTGCATAGGGAATGGACTTATAGGGAGACATGAAAATACATATGTCATCAACATAAATAACAAAGAGCAGGGGCCCAAGTATTGAACCTTGTGGAACACCGTGCTCAACAGGTTCAAAATTTGATGGAACACCATTACACGAAACCGCCTGATACCTATTTGAAAGGTGTGATCCTATGAGTGACAGAGATACCCCTCTAACTCCATAACAATACAATTTTTTAAGAAGTATACTGTGTGATACACAATCGTGTTGAAAATGTACTGGAAGCAACAATGAATAATTCTCTAGGAAATTATAAACTATAAAAGAGTAAAGAAGGTCGAAATAAGACGAATGTGTGACAATTTCAGTAACTTCGTTCCAATTCGCACCGAAAGTTAGCTCAGTCCAGACATCGGCCGTAGAAAGCGAAGAAAAATGCAGTACTTTATAGAAGTAAATTGAAAGGGTTATAATTTCAGGAGTGACCAATTTTTGAGAAAGAAAAGATTTTGACTTTCTACTACTCCATCTCAATACAAAAAAAAGGTGGGAATCTTCCAAAGAAAAGAAAGAAGCAATCAATTTTAAAGAAGAAATTCTATATATAGATCTGTAGATCATGCAGAAAACCAACTTTCAGACACAAACTGGAAGAAAAAGCCCTCCTGAAACAGTTTCTTTCATTCATATAAATATTGAATTACACGAAAGAAAAAAACTTTCGAAACAAATACTTTTATATGAACACTGAATTATACAAAAAACACTTTTCTCTACTCAGTTTGTATTCCAAACTTTCGTTATGGAATTGAATCAGATATCATTCACAGGATTTCTACATAGTATACTAAATGAAAGGTAAAAATTTCACTTACATGGAACACTGTCATCCTCATTGGTAGACATCGATGTCTCGCCATAAGACACTTGCCTTAGGGCTCTTCAGTACCAATCTATATAATATTATAAGTACCAGATTTCAAATTTCAAGAATGAAATTGGAGGAGGGAGGGTCAGATATCAGTCAAACATGTTTTGATTCAACCCGACGTTTCGGTTTATTATTAAACCATAATCATGGGTGCGTAATTCATTTTGCACATTGGATAGATCCTCTTAATTTCATGCGTCAATTGTCTTGCTGACTATGGACTGTCCATAGCCATCTGGGTCATTCAACAACTCAAAAATAAGTAGGTACTAGTGTTTTCAAAGTTGTATTTTTGAATAATTGAATATTTCTCGCCTGTTGTAAGAGGCAACCGATGCACCTGATCTATTGGTGTTATGCAACACGTACCGAAGAATGAATGGTACCTGGGCCTTACCAGATATCGTCTCATTGCCTGTGAATAGATTGCGAAATCAAAGACTGCGTTCAACTTAGCAACTTTACCTCCAACAATAATAGCAACACATTTACACTCATTTAGGACGTATTACCAAGTTCAGTTTTGGATTGGTAATTATAATTTGAATCCGGAAAATTGGGGTTGGATCAAATCTGGAACAATGTTCCTGCCGATAAAAACAACGGAAAAACTGGCGCCTGACGACTTACTTAAGCTGGTTAATTGTGCCTGCATAAAAGAGTGTAATAATCGATGTAGATGTAAAAAATCTGGGCTTCCTTGCTCATCTTTATGCAAAAATTGTAAAGGTGAAACATGTTCTAACAGTACAAGGCCATCACTTGATGATGACAATGATGATACTTTCACTAGTTCGGACTTCCATTGTCTATTATATAAAATGATTTGAAATCCCTGAAACAAGTAAAAAAGTAAAAAAGAATAATTAAAAAAAAGAGAATAGTTGAAAAATAACAAGTTACATAGACCTCGGTGAAAAATTGCTCCTTCATTTTTTTGCAATGCACTGTTTGGAATCTTTGGTGTAGTAATTAATATTACTGCAGTTTTTCCCCAACACCAAACCGTTAATTCAACACCTCGACACGTGTTTCGATCACCAAGTGATCATCTTCATAAGGAACATCTTCCTCTTGGTCAGTCATGTTCTAAAAAAGCCATTTTTTTTGGTATTGATTTAGGATTCTGAGCCGAATGAACTCTTGAACTCATTGCGAATAGTCCTCTTAGTAGGACAATTATGACGACCGTAAAATCAGCAAAGCGCGAGTTATGTGAAGAAATGTTGCAGACCATCAAAGAAAATGCAGTGCTTGCAGAATCCCACACCGAATCCAGAAACGATTATTTTCATAAAATTTTCATTCCTTCTTATTACAAATCTCTATTAAATTTCGTATTGCAATTTTGAGTAAAATAAAATTGTTTTCAAAAACGGTTTTTTACTGCAAAGTTACTTAACTGGCGCAGTCGGTAGGATACGAACCTACGATCTCAAAAAGAATATGATTTCCAATCTATACGAAAACTTCAAACAGAAATTAAACTACTCAAAAAATTATAACACCCAGCAATTTGGAATATATCCAGTTAACTGTAGGCCTTCTACTCCTTACCGGACTAGCCATACTTTGGTTTTGGATGAAAAAGAAAAATGGCTATCGCAACTCTAACCGACAAGAGGTCCTTAAAGAAAACAACCCGTTATCCGTATTGTTTCCTCCTGAAGAGAGAAGAGTTATGTGAAGAGATTTCACAGACTATAAAATGAAACGCAGTGCTTGCAGAATCTCACCCTGGATCCAGAAACGATTATTTTTAAAACTTTCTATTCATTCCTATTGCAGATCTCAATATAAGAAGTCTCTATAAATTTTTTATTGTAATTTTAAGTAAAATAAAATTGTTTTTAAAAACGGTTTTCGACTTCAAAGTTACTTAACTCGCGCGGTACGTGGCCCGAACAGAACACTCATTTTGATGAAACAATTCTATTATTTTCACATGCTGTTTATAGTTATTAACGTCACAAGGTCGATATGTAGCAAATAACGGATGAGGTTGAATATTGTA